GATTATTTTCCCCGCATAGCAGTCATGCTTGAGATTACAGATTAATGAAAACAAGGGAGGTCTAATAATACAATCATACATAAATAATACAATAACGTCATGCTGGTATTTCATAAAAACAAACATATATTACATCACATTAAAAGCCTTAGTAGGTGGGTTTTTAGTTAGGTACTTATAATGTTTCGTGGTTTACTTGCTACTGCATGGAACTTTGCTCGCAAATTAGTCTAAGGCGAACTTAGACTCTAAGGCGAACTTAGACTCTAAGGCGAACTTAGACTCTAAGGCGAACTTAGACTAAGGCGAACTTAGACTCAAGTTCTACATATCAATCAATAGTCAACTATAGTGATTTGTCATATGAGCTAAACGGCCCAGTGTCTAATATGACATTAGTTCCTTTTTAAAAACTTAAAAATTTATCATGTCAAGAAACCAAAATATTTACCTACCTAAAGACTGAAAATTGCATTGCATAGAAAATTAAAATATTTAAATTAGTTGCTTGAAATAACTTTATCTACAAAACAAAATAAAAAGATACCAAAAAGAAACTTAGCATACCGCATTCATACGCAAGCAATGTTCTTTCTCCTTTTTAGAACTATAGAGGCCCTTGGTAAGAGCGGCTCTACGATTGAGTAGTTACAGACAGCATCGAAGTAGGCGCTGAACAAAAACTGTGGGGTTGAAATTATAACTTAGATTTCGTATGGTTTAACTATAATAAATTAATAATTAAAAATAAATGCTACTTAATCATAATACTTTGGATTCCAGCTGCTGCATGATCATCAATTATATAAGAGTCTAAAATAATTAGACAAACAAACACAAATACCTACTTAAGTATACTTTACCGAATTATGAGTAATTATAATGACCGGGAAAGATTACAACAATAACGATTCTGTGTTAAATCATTCACATCTCTAGATTTATCCTGTTATATATCTTTCATTTTTGTATTTGGGTTTTCCCAACGAACAAAAAACTTTGACCTTTTTACATGCTGATAATACTAACTATATTATCAATAATATTACAATATTATTAAATTGTGTAGTTAGGTGTGGGCGCCGGGTAGTGGTTGCGTACCTACAAAACCACGTGGTTACACGGACTCAAGAATCCTTAATAACACGACAGCGACGCATCTGAGAGATGCATATGAAGGTCTAAGGCTGGAACGGTTTACTTCTGTCAGTGTAAGAAGTTGCTACTACGTGTGCGGTTGGTGGAGACTTTGGTTCTATCAAAACTAAATTACGCAGATACTGTTATAGGCCCCAGGCTCTTGGCACGCACTGGGAGATTAATACAAAGAGTTCAGAAAGCCTGCGGACGATTTTGCTACAATGTTCCGCCAGAGTCATGTAACGCCATTTTTGAACAAACATAATGCTTTAAAAATGAAATCACACCGTTAACTCCACCTCGTCTGTCTTATGTTCGAAGTGATACAAGTGTCCTCCATACCTGTACTCTAGGTTTGCATGGGTTAACAGTCACCGGGAGCGTGAGGGTAGGCGATGTGCTTAGCAGCTCGCCATTCGTCAGCATAGAACTGCAGCTTTTCGTGGCAGCTTCCGTTATGCGGCTTCCAAGTGTTGGAATAATATTCCACCACCATTCTGAAAAATAAAAACACGTTTAGGTTAAAATTACTTTAATTAGGTTAAACTTTTATTTTAACATCCCAAATTAAATTTAACGACATTAATATTGACAAATCTTCTAATTTCAGTCTATTGTTCCAACATAATCAAATTATACTTACTTTTATATGCCAACTTGGAAGTCTTTGCGTGTTGTGTGGGTGCTCACCGTGTAAGCATTATTTTAATGTACTTCGCCATTATTTCAATAATTGATTTTTATTTGTGATCATTCCGCCACTCGTAGTTTTGTGTCCTGTGGCCAGTGGGGGGCAGCTGTTTCTTTGTAGGTACGCGTCAGCAAGAACCAGAGCTCAGAAGGGTTGTCACTAAAATAGTGCCGTCTGATTTGACAGTCAAAAATATGTAATAACCCTCAGTTAATTAAAAAAAGTAAATATAGAAAATGACTATGTCTTATAATTGCATTTTTACATTATTTTTTATGTATATACATATACTATCGGATATATAAATTATTCTAATCACAATTTTTCACACAAATATTGAGCAGAATTTATATAATTTCATGTTTATTTTGTAGATACCACCGTCCGTGAGTCACTGCGGGGTGCCACCTGAAAACAAGCGTTGGGCAGGAACGCTCAACTATATGCTGAAGTGGGGGCCCTTTTGATGCTTATGTCAAAAGGGCGGAAATTAATATTAATAATTTGTTTTTTTTTTGTATATTTAAAATTCTGTTATTATCATATTGTTATTTTGTTACACCGTAATGTTTTTTGTTCTGTTCTCTATTCTTTTAAGTTTATTATTAGTATTTTGTTCATGTAAGTAATTGTATTTTTATTTTTTTATAATCTTTGTGTTGTGTGCTAATTGCCAGATAAATGTTTTTCTTTCTCTTTCTTTCACAGTGCACAAGGTGTTGTCTGGAGTGTTGCCTCATAGACATTTATAAAAAAATCTAGACTAAAGAATGTTTGGTACCACCAACGACGTTGACAAAAGGCGGACATAATGACAATAGGGTAGTTTCCTAAATTTTATTTTAATGTCCGTCTGGTAGATTAATTTAAAACTTTAGACAAGTATTTTTTTCTTTTCTCGCAAAATTAAATACTTTCGACGATATATTAATTTGAAATATCGTGTGACGTCACAGCGTGCCACAATTTATAGCACGTTATGACGTAACGACTTCCCACTCCGCCATTAGCGCCATTTTATCTAAGTATTGCAACTTAATACGAGAAAATAAAAAAATACGTGTCTAATATATTTTCATTATCTACGGACTAATTAGATTTTTAATTTTGATACCCTGGAAACTACCCAATTAGAAATGATTGAAACACCAAAATGTCAGTCAATTTTTATGTGTGCGTGTGTAATGGGTTCCCACGTTACCAGACTAAGAAAATGACAAATGTCCTTCATATCAATGTGTGTATGTTCTGCGTGTAACTCTATAGTAGTCAGGTGCCACAGAGCAGTGTTTCAAGAGACGCCTCTTTTCAACGTCTTTGGGTAGCACTTTGACAAAAGTTACACAGTAGGGAGAAGTCCTGTAACGACGGACGGAACCTAACGCCGGACACTTGTATTATCTCGATAACTGAAAACACGAGCGATTCAATTTTTATTAAAAATCTTAGGTGTTTGCTACTGGGAGACTGCCCTAAAAATTGAGTTGCTCATGTTATTTTATTTGTTATTGAGATAATACAATTGTCCGGCGTTAGGTACCGTCCGGCGTTACGGGACTTCCCCCTACTACGAACGTTGTGACAAAACAAATGTTTCCAAGTCCTTAGTTAGATTGCATTGTTAGATCAGTCTATCCACGCTAATTATTTTCTGAAGTTAGCCAACGGTTTGAGCTGATAAAACAAAATAATCTTCTACTACTTTGGAAGCTAAAGTTGGATCCTATGGTCGAATAAAAACGGTGGTGATAGGGCTAATCAGTCGCCCCATTTGTTGCAGACAAGCGAATAGCTCCGTGCAACCACCATATTCCAGTTTAAAGACGAAACCATCACCAATAGGTTACAGTGTCAACACACACGTGTGTCCTCACCATAGCAAGGTACAGTAAAATAAAATATAGTTTGGTTTCATGGCAGTTTTATTAATTAATTAAATAATAAAATTACGGATATGGAATTGCATTTATAATAACAAATGATAACATAACATAAAACATTTAATGATTATCCGTGACTATCAAGTATTGCTATCACATATACTCGAAACGCCTGTCGAAACTCGTATAGCAATATTATTTATTGTAATTCTAAGTGAAGTCACATTAGCAGGCACTTCCCGTCAGTATTCACAACCTACACTATGTGTTAGTAGTGGAACATTAACAACGATGCTAAAACACATCAAATATATCTCGTTACTGAACAAAAATCTGACGTCATCCTTTATTAGCGTGTCTATTGACTATTCATTACTCGTTTAGTTTCCAATACATTTACTTTAACACGGATCGTAAATCTATGGAATATTTTATTTATATTTTAGCCTCAACTTATTATAATATCAATGTTTAGTGTTAACTTTATAAGCTCGTGTTTGTCAAGTAAATTGTGATGTTTTATGTACTCATTCAGACTTTGATACAAAAAGGAATTGAAGACACACACGTACATAACCAAGCCCGTTACTATTCACTTATAACATTTATATACAATTACCGACTATCTCTCTCTCTTTCCTATAAAACTTCGTTTATAGTGTGCTCTACACCGCAGTGCCATCTATCGGTGCACAACTACAACCTACTCTTCGTGTACAAAAATACAATATAATACTATATTCGACAAAATACTATAAAATAATTGTAAAATTACTGGAATATTTTAATTTATAGCGTCATACGCCGGACTCGAGACGCCATTGTAATAATTTTAGACATGTAGTCCGGACTCAAAGACATTACCAACTAGAAAAACATAAAATAAACTTCATACAATCATTCATACATATAACAATGCTCAGTGGCGATTTGACAAACAACATGAAAGTGCACTTGTTTAAATTAAGGACGAAATGGTATAAATATAATCTCTGTCTCCGTCACACTGCTGGACAGAAACTCATTAAGATGTTGCCGATAACATAGAGAAACTGTGCGAGTGCTTTTTAATGCAGATAGTATAAGTAGACGAAGTGTGACTTTATATCTCAACATTAAAATATATAATTATTGCTATTAAGGCATTTGAACAACATACATACATACGACCATTAGTGCTACATACACATAGGTGTGAGTATGTTAAGTATTTCGCTATTATAGTATCGTGGCTCCGCGCACGTCACACTTCGCAAATTACAACAGCCCCCGTCGCGACTAGAAACCAATTAAATCTCCGTGTAGTAGGTGGGCCTGTTGATCGCTAGCAGAGAGAACACATTTGGAAAAACGTACGTCGTATTGAACCCGATCATGCCGTACGTGAAGTATTTATAACTTAGTTCCACTATAATTTTATTCTTATTGTCTAGACTGTCCTCTGAGTTGCGTAGTTCGTTCTTATCCTTCCCGAGTAGGGCACACACGAAGGCGTAAGACACAGATTTGCCAATGGCTCTGGTCGCGAGGACTCCACAGAAACCGAGTATGGTTCTGAGGATGGTGCATCCCAACATCTCCTTGGAAGGCCATATGATCTCGTAGGGCGGGTCCAGCGGACTGGCCACCATGTTACCGAGCTGGTAGTTGGTCCAGGAGCCGAACAGGATGCCCGCACACACGCTCACTATCATCGTGGTGTCGCCTCTGTAACATTTAATAAAACGCATTTATAGCTGACTAGGAACCAAAGTATGTGTTGCAAATAACGGCTGTCGCAGTGATATTTACAAGGTTGATAAAAACATGGGTGTGCTAAGTAAACATGTGATTCACTTTACCTGATATCATTGGGAACGATGCATGTGTAATATCTTTAATCTGTTCATGCTTTACACACATTTTTTTTGAGATAGTTTTTTTTAAACTATTTTTTTCGTAACAATGTCGATGTGATCGGTGTTGTAATGAAAATATTTTTGTCTATAAACTAATCAGTTCTCTAAAAACTCTAATAATGACGATTGATAAATTATTATTAAGTAATTAGTTAGTGATAAATAATAATTTAGCAAAAATAATTGTTCACCATGCATGTCAAGTTGCTATAACTATTATTGTATAGTGATTTAAAATCGAGTTCTTATCACGTATGCTGCACATGTACCTACTAACACATACAATTTTAGTGCAACGTTTGATTGGAATAAAACAATCTGTTCATAATTCAATTACATAACGCTACTTATTTTCTAGAGTCGTAGTACATTTATTCAAGCCCAAGAAGGCAGGAAAACATTAATACTTCAAAATAAATATAACTGCATACAATGAAATTTCTTACATTCGATACAATGTACAAAGTCATTATTTTTTCCAGGAAAGATATAGCCAGAGTGGAAATAAACATATTGTGTTTACATAGGCACTGAACTTGTGCACAACCACGTGATACGATCGTGCACATCAGTATGCTAGACAGCGGTGACACATACATTTGCGCTTGCGCATTGACTAGCAATGTAGACATCAGAAAATTTAAATTTTTTAAATGACTCAAACATACTTTTAATCTTATGGTTTAGTAATAAAATCTAAAATCATTTAGGTAGGTCTTTGTTCTGTAGTGACGTCTTTAGGCCGATGTGATGACGATAATGAGTCTTATAACACCCAGCTATAAGGAAATAGCTTCGTATTAAAGTTTTTAGGATAATTCTGATACAAGGACTTTGTTATTGATATTGTACGTCAGTGTGGTCTTAAATGACCTTGAATTTATTGTTATGGAGCCGGAAATAATCTCTAATCAACTAGTGTATAGGAATGCGCTCACCCTCATTTATATAGCGAGAAGTTTATCAATTTAAACTAAAATACACTACAAAGTGTAACTTTGGACACTAACGGTTATTCTCCAAAGAGGTAGATCAAATAAATAAAGTAGGTAGAGGTACTATGAAAAGTGTTCTCACCTGGTAGGCGTCCATTTGTCAGCATTAGGATGGAATACGATGACTAGAATGGAGGCAGCTATGACGAGGAACGGTGAGAACTGCGAGGTGAGCAGGAACCCGTCGAGATGGTCCACCACCGGGATCAGCACCGACACCAGCGCCGTCGCCAACAGCAACCCAGCTGCTATATCCTGGAACACGTGAGAAATATTATTATAGTCAGAATTTTAATTAGATTCCAGATTTGACAATAGCTACTGGAATTTTGTGAAATAATGATACCACATATAATAGTGTAGTGATGCACACAAAAATCGATAAACAATCGGTGTGTGTGTTTTATAATAAATGTTACAGAAAGTGACAGGATAGCGATAGCGATGACGGCGACAATTTATAAAATAACTTATTACCATAATACATCTATCTGTTTTATTTGTCATGTTCCTTCATGATTACATTTTTTTATTTATTTCACACACAATTGTAAAAGAAACGTCTTAGATCGTTAATTAATCGTCAAAACTAAATTATCGGTTCAGAAATATTTAATTTCCATATCGAATAATTTCGCAACGTCACTATTTAGTACTTGTCATAACGTTGCCACACTGAAATTGTCAAATCTGGAATCGAATTAAAATTCCGAGTTATAGATAAAGTTTTAACTAAGGACATAAGTTTCGACATAAGGACTGCAGAATGAATTTGGATTCTATCATAATGTAGATTTATTGTAAGGACCTAAGTACGTACAGTTCTGCCTAATTGATTGGACTTTTTATTGTAGGTAATAAAAATTATGCCTACCAGTCGGTTGTCTAAGTTTAGAACCCGACAACTAGTATTGAAAGTAGGACGAATGCCATTTGACCTCCGCTGTCTAATTATATGTATATGACGGACACATTAGTGTGTGAGATTGCGCGCTTCCTGCTAATTCACTTTCTTTAAGAACTCTCGTTTGTACAATAAGTATAAATAGCGTGAAATGAATGATGTGAATTTAGAAAGGCGACTAGTCTTATACTATACTATAGTCGAATATCGAAATCGAAACCAAAAGTATCTTGTGATTATGTTAAGAGTAAGTTAGTAGGTGGTCTAAAGTTACTCTAAATCCTTACTAATATTATAAATCGGAAAGTGAGTTTGTTTGTTCTGCTTTCACGCCGTAACTACTGAACCGATTGCTTTGAATTTTTGCAGACGTAAAGTTAGAAGTCCGGCTTAAATAATAGGGTACTTATTATACCGGAAAAATGTCATATTCCCGAGGGAAAACAAAAGTATTGGTATAGATGGCGCTGTGTGTATTGGTATATGTCACATAGGCTACTTTTTATCCTTCTGTGACGCGAGCGAAGCCGCGGGTAAAAGCTAGTTTACTATAAATTCACATTACCACCTACATTTCTAATCTTAATAATTACGATATTTATCAAAAGTTGTAAAGTACTTTATCAGACATGAATAGCTGTTATATAATATTCTTCAAGAAAGTACAACATTCCTACCATATCATGTAGTTAAAATTACATATATCTTTGAAGTACCTACACAAGCACTAATTTATGCACTGGGACGATTTTCTTTGGCATATAACATGGCTGAATGAAGAAACAATAATGCCTGTCGTTAAACAGTTATTAAATAGTCACAAATGTTTATTACTTCGTTATACTTAACAAGTCAATAGACCATCAGTTATTCAGTATAGAAATTAAATTATCTGAAGTTTAATAGACTGTTTCTTCATAACTAAAATGATAATGAAATTCTGATAGATAAACAGGTAAAACTAAGTAATGGAATAGCATTATCTTCTGACAATAGTATTCTATTAGTAACGGTGTCTAGTCTAAAATAAAAAAGATAATTTTCTTAATATCTAGCGTCGCTGATTGCTTATCATCAGTTGATCTGTCTTGTAATTTACTTTTGCCATCTTTCCTCAGAAAAAAATTGATTATTATTTTTTTATTATGCAATTAAATAACCAAAAATAAATTCTTACCAACACACTATGCATTCCTAGGTAGACCCTGCTGACACAAATTAGTGTGCACCATGAGACCGCGATGACCATACCCCAATGTACAGGATACTGGTACCTATCCATGGTGTATAATAACACGGAGAATGGTATGGACACTCCCACCATAGCGTGTGTTGATGGCATTCCGTACTCTACTGCCCATTTCTGCTGCAGCTTCTTCACTGGGTAGCCTGGACGAGGCCAGCGGATTATGTCTTTGAAGCCTTGACCTGGAATTAGAACAATACGTTTTTTAGAATGGTAAGTGAGACTTAAGTTGTGATGTTTGGTGTTCGCTAACTATGAAATCCATTGTCACCGATATTTACAAACCGATACAACTTTCAAATCGTCAAGAAGGAGCGTACTCCTTTTTAAAAGACCGGCAACGCACTTGTGACACGTTTGGGTGTCCATGGGCGACACTGATCGCTTACCAGTAGGTGATCCTTCTGCTGCATAAGGGATTCGATGCCGAGGATCCCGCATAGAGCAAGGAGTGATCATTCCTGGGATTGGATTCCATCAAAGATTTAAAAACATACTATAAAAAAATGAATACTCTTTGTAATCAGCTCAAGTTTATAGTAAAAAGAAGTGTTAAAATATAAGTGGCGTAACTAATAAAGACAGTTGTCAGTTTATAACTTTTAATCTTTTTGTTAGTGGCTTGGAACGGTAAGATATATAAAAAAGCATCTTATGTATGTACACTGCAATGGACGTTGTATAATGTTTATCACAGGTAATATTTTTATGACGGAAAACACAGGTTATTACTTATGTTCCGTTTTTTATGAGTAACGGAGATCAGTACAATTCCTAAACTTAAGATTACGTGTTTTACAGCACATAAGAATAACATTTTGCAATAGATCTACTAACAAATTATAATTATGTATAATACTACTCGTCACGAGATAGCAGCGTGAACAACAAGCATACCAGATAAATCTTAGGATTAATCGCTATTTGTTATCTTAAAGTTTTATAGCTCTTACATTTAAAAAGTATTTATTTATTGCTACCTCTTTGGTCTCGTATATGTAAGTTTGATTGCTGAACTTCTTAATACCCGATTATGAAAAATCCACAACATTATACATAATACTTAGTTTTGACATTTTAATATGAATTGTAACTACTATAAATTGAATTTGTACGCCCCTAAGGGCAAAACATGTATTGGACACTGATTTTAAACAATTAACATCTTGCATGCTTTTGTATGAATGACACATGTTTATGCAAATAAATTATCTTTATCTTTATCATTTGTTCATATAAAAGTAGTCTCTAAACATCGGAAATAAGGTTTATAATGTTGTAAGTGGAGAGTGGTCACTAGTGACCACTTGGAGCCCTGAGTTTAATCCCTGGCTTAGATAAGGCATTAGCTGATTAGCTCACTAATAATTCAAGGACTTGAATTAAGCCTGGTGTATAGGATTAACTGGTTATAGTAAAAGTAGCAACCAATGATGTGGTTGGTTTAGTCTGTGTCTGTAGGTTTAGGACTACAAAGTTGACTAGACGTTCTAGTTTATTTATTAAACATGAACTTAATACCTAGCAATGTATCTTACACAAAAAGTAAGCCTGTATTTCCATCATATTACAATCATGAATTTTTAACAGATTTTCAACCTTATTCTATAACCTTATAAAGTCCAAAATGCATTGGTGGCAGTACATTTACAATTTCAACAAAGATAAACTTGTAAATACTTTTGATAAGTATCAGTTGTAATTAATTACTCAACTGGAAATGTCGCCCAAACATTGTGACTCATTCATTACTTGCATACCTTACTTATTATATCAATTGGCGACTTTAGCTATATATTTATATATCATTTTTAAATTAACTATTTTTAAAACATGGCGCGACTTATAAGTACGTTGATATAGCCAATGTTATCATTTACTCACACATATTTTATTTATCTGAAATCTTATGATTATGATTAATAGCGATATAGTAGATATAACACAATACTATGAAAGCTGACTCATTTTGCAGCTGTTTTTCTAAATTCTTCACAAATTCTTTTATCTTGAAAAATTAAAGCTATATTTGAAACTCATCTTTCCTTGTCTTTATGATTTTTTATTGATTGTTGCACATGCAATAACTAAATTACACAAATGCAACATGGAGTTTTATGAATCTACAAAGTAATCTATATCTTGCACTACTATAAACTTATATCACAACATTAAACTAGGCTTTAGATAAAAATTAAAACTATAAAAACTTGTCATTCAGTTCAACTGTATAATATTAATGACCATAGAATATGACATAACATAACATCACGCCTTTTATCACCGAAGGGATAGGCTGAGGTACACATTACGGCACTTAAAGCCATATACAATCTAACACCCACTTTTCACTATTTTATGTTATGGCAATAGTAAAGTGATTGGCACAGATACGAGTTCTGCTATACCTATAATTTTAAACAACAATTTGTCATTGAATACAATATGTAAATAGGAATGTCAATGCCAAGTCACTAACTTAGCTAGTTACTAAGCACGGCCTTGGTGTTGAACTAACAAAAAATGACAATAGTTAACTTCAATAAATAATGCCAAATACTTATTAATAGCAATCCTATTATTACGAAATAAATAAAGACCATTATAATCACAAGTAATGTACTTTAAAAATATTTATTAGGCAATTATTTGTGTAAATTAGAATCTGTATTTTCACAATACATAATATAGCTGTTTGAAGTAATATAATTGTCGTGAGGGTCGATGGCGAAAAGATACGGCAGGTAATTACTGTTACTGGTCTAATTGAAATAAAAGATTTTGACTTTGTCTTTATGGATGCAAGTTGTTTCAAAACAGTTGATATTGAAGTCATTGAAGGAGGCAGATGTTAAAAAGTGATTGTTTTGTCGTTGATGTGATGACAAATCTATATATTTTGCTTTTTCTTTACTTGAAATGAAATTAAATTGTTTATTTGTAAACGATATCATTTCATTTGTTGTAGATTACCTATTTTACATAACATCACAACTTTTACCCCAAAGGGGTAGGCAGAGGTGCGCATTACGACACTTAATGCCACTGTACAATGTAACACCCTTATTCACAAGTTCTTGTAGTCCCATGTAATAGGGGGTGAGCCTATTGCCATATACAATTTCAGACTCCGTGCCTTTTACCTGCTTCTTACTGAATCTGTACATGAGTTACTGTTGTGCAATGAAAATATCAGAATTAAAGCCCTAGTAACACCTAAAGGCTATAATTATATCCTCATGGCCATATGAGGTCATCACTATCAGTTTAAATTCTACTATAAAACCAGTCTATATTTAGATCAATATCTTAGAATACTCTAGAATCATTTATTTAATTTAATAAAAATGTCATATCACCACAACCTACTTTATTATGACTAATGTTTATTTGTAATGTATTATAATACCTAAAAGATTTTTCTGTTTACACACAAAACTTCATTTCAACCTGCCCTAAGTTTTCAAATTTTGTTGTTGGATTTTAGATTTTATTACAAGACATTAAAGTCTAAAATTGATTTAAAAAAATATACAGTTTGTGGCGGCATGATGTGCAGGTCTAATGCATAATCTTGTGTGATAAAGTTTATCACACTACAAATTCATCAAAATAGTATCTTGTACATAGAAAAATTAGAAAAGTAGGGCATGGTAACATAATAGGTACTTTCTTAAGGAAAGAAAGACTACTCTGTTTCATGATTAAGGTATTAAGTACAATGTATAAATTAAATTAAATAATTAATGTTAAATAATAAAAAAATATATAAATGCAAACAATACAATAAGTCATTAAACTGTCCATATTTACAGCAACAGTGGACACTGCATACATCATGACTCAATTTCAATACATTTTCAACCTTACAGCAAAAGAAATAAGGTCCACAGTTTAGTGTAGCTTGACATGCTGCCCTATATGTGGGTAATAATATGTTTAATTGTCAACAGCCTGGCCAGTGATGTTTATCAAACATTGCTACATCATGTTATTGTGTCTATTGCTTACACATATCAGATTTCAGGCTCCTGTACATAATAAATAATGCAATCCATAAAGCTGTTAAATTTGTTCCGTCTTGTGGTTTGTAGACAAATGTTCAATAGCCAGATGGCTATTGAGTAGTAGATCTCAATTGATGTCAATAAGATCAAAGAACCAGCCATCACCAGATAGGTATTAAGCCCTATACACCCAATATAAAATAACCAATTGAGATAAATTTTACTTACCAATATACATGACTACAGTCCAAACCAGCACCACTCTCCTGCCAACAGCTCCATCAATGTTCCAGAACCAAAACGGAATAAAGGTCGCGTAGAATATCTCGTCTCCCAACTCAGTGCCCAGCACGAACAGGTAGTACCAGAACTTGTTGTCTATGCGATACTCCACAACATCCTTCCCGCCGCTGTCTCCAGAACTATCAGTGTCATAAGCAGAGGACTGCGAACTACTCGATATGTTACTAGGAATCCTCTTGTGCTGTTTCACATCATTCTCCTCGGCCAAACGGTCCACTCTATCTGAATGTACCACTTCGGCTGACGCTGATTCATTTTCTTGTGTACTTTGATTGCTTTTATAAGTTACACCAAAAAAGTTTTGTACTTTAATCACTAATAATGGATCTTTTAAATATTCTATAATTTGTTCCCACATGTTTGAGCCTTCTATATTTCTAACACAGCCGAAAGATTCGTGCTACACACACTTCCTATAATTTACAAAAATGCGGATGAAATCACCGTTTTCCCTCAAGTTTCTGGAGTTTTATGAAGTTCGTGACAATTTACATGACACCCAACTTGACATTAGTTTGACATTGACGTATCAGTTTGACGTTGACTTTTGGTTTTTTAATTATTGGATGGTAATTTTCCTTGAATTTTCTGAATTTAAATGAAATAAGAAATTAAATTCCTGTAGTGAAAACGATAATTTAGACCCAAATATTGCGTAATTAAGTTTTCTTAAGTTTTAGTATACTGTGGGATCAAAAACAACAATCTAACTGAAGTAAGTAACAAATCCCGCTGAGGGAATTAGTTTTTTTTTTTTTTTCTTTTTCTTTGGCAACTGAGTCTCCAATACGATGTTGTCGACTATACTGCCAGTGTCGAGTGGTGACGGCAGTTAATGCACCGTCGAACTTTAACTTTCTGGTAGTTGTTAGTAACGTTATATTTTAATACAATTTTCTTTAATAAATTTGGACAAGCACTTAACTAATTTGGGAGAAAAATTTGTTAGGAGGGAGTGGAAGTTGATTGGAAGAGGGATTTGGATTTTGGGAAGGTTTCCATATAAATCGAAGGATTGGGAATTTAGAGGGCAAGAGAAAAATATGTGGTCTAGGGTTCCCTCATCCAGACCGCATTCGCAGGGAATTAGTTTGTTCTTGGCACGTCACTTCACAACATGTGTCAAAGCTGTCAATTCGGTACTGTCAAAAAAGTTTTTGCCCGTCAATGAGGTTGTTTGACCCGCAAATATTATTTTGCGAAGTTATTTCATACAAATTAACTTTTGTAAAGAGAATTCTTTTAATTTTGTGAATACCAGGCTTTAATAATAAAGTTACTCGATCGAAAATTCGTGATTTGAAGCAAGTGTTTCATGTGAGTCTTCTATAATTTATTAATCACTTTGTTATTCTTGATATATTATTTATCTGTTTATCTACTTCTTACTTTTGTTTTACTAGACTTATATCTTTCTATTTTATCAGGATATTTTGTGTTGTTCTTATTAATATATAGTATACTAAATTAATTCGAATAGCGTAAATGTCATTTATTATGACAATTTTTGAAGTTACTATTTCTTTTAATTCATGAAAAAAAAAAATCTAGTCGTTAATAATTAGAAATTATCTCGAAATAATTTTATACGAACGGCTGGTTTTGCGTGATATATGTTTACCTTTCTTATTGGATACTTATTGGTCAGACTTACCTCATGATAAAATAAAAACATCAAACTTGCTTTTTTATACTGCAGGTGCATAGTAATATGAAATGTTAAAACTTTTTAAAATAATTAACATTAGGTACACTTGAGGCACCTTGAGTGAAATGGAAATTAGTGAATCAAAAAACATTCCGAGTTCCGTTTGCTATACTAGGATATTGCAGAACATTGCAGATTGCAGACTTAGAATTATAATAAAATTAGTATAAATATATCAAAAGTAAAAATTTTCATTCAAACGTAAAGTATTCGTTCATTTCAAGGTGTAGATTTCTATGAAGAAGAACAAGCGAGAAACTCCTCTTTTTCAATCAAGTTTACAATCCAAATCTTTAGTTACATAGTTTTGTTAGTTAAATTGTGTGAGAACAATGTAGCATCAAAATCAAGTAAAAAAGATTAAAAAGGAAAATAAGTCTAAGGACGGTAAAGTCATACAGTCTGGAGCTGACCAGTCCCAGTTGATGGCACCTAGTCAGGAACATGACACATACACCTAACTATATTTATTATTGTTTGAATTAATTATCTAAGACATTTATTAAACATTTTGATTTTCCAGCAAGAATGTTGTGGTTTAGTCATTAGATCTAATAAGAATATTTTTTTATAAGTGGAATACAAAAAAAAACTGTCTTATGGGGAAAATGACTATTTTTTGTCCACTAAGACTTTTTTGTCCAGTCTTTTCCAATTTTAAATTTAAAATTGTAGAGAGGTGGTTGTTAAATTATGGTCATTTTTAACTTAGATTTTTTTTTAAATTTCAAAATGTTGTTCTTTACTTTTATTATTGTATTAAAAAAGTTAAATCCATTTTCAATTCAGAATGAAAACTAAAATTTATAATTGTTATCAGCAGTCAGCACCACGATTTCATAATTATTATAATAGAATATTGTAATACAAAATCACTAGACTTCAATTACATTGTTAATGAATCTATTATAACTGAGATAATAATGTAATGTTTTATCTAATTATTCCATTCATTACTGAGTACATTCATATTATTATTTATAGATGTATTTTTAAAATGTAATTGACTGGAGCACTATTATCTTTTGCCAACTTGATAGTGACTTCCAACTGTCTGCTAGATTTATTAATTAAACAGCTAAAACAGCACATTCATGGCTTCACTTTGACTTATCAAACTATTACCTGAAAGGGTTAGCAGAAATTAGTTGTACTCATTTATCACTGTCATTCATGGTTGAACCCCAGGTTCCTTGTAAAGAGGTAGCAGATATTTTCCTATATTGCAATGGTTTGTTCCAGATTGTGTTCTATGACCATACATACATAACGTCACGCCTTTTATCCCCGAAGGGGTAGGCAGAGATGGCCCTTAATGCCACTGTACAATGTACCACTGTAACACCTACTTTTCACTATTTATGCTATGAGTGGTGAGCCTATTGTCATATACTGGGCACTATTTCAGACTCCGTGCTACCACTGAGATTTTTTTTAAAACCCAGTAGTACTTTGCCCGACCCGGTAATCGAACCGGAGACCCCTTGTCCGGCAGTCGCACTTGTGACCACTCGGCCAACGAAGCAGTCACTTGTTGCAGATTCTATGACCAAGTTTTTCAAAAGTGGAATCACAGTAAAATTCTCATGACTCGGGAATCACTAGAGCCAGACCTAACACAACTGTCGCACTTGTTCTCCTCTCTACCAACCTGTTATATGCTTTGTTTATAACATTTATTTATCACACAAAGCGCGAATTTCGCTGGAATATCTACTTTCTAACCATAATTAAATTACTTGATAAATCGTATTAGCAGCGTGCATGTGCATCGTCACTATCTCGTACACATAACGACAATTGTAGCATGTATGAAGACAAACAAGCCTACATAAACACTGCAATAAGTATCAACTACATTCTCGAGTCAGTTGCTGACTGAACTACCGTCAGCTACATGTGTCGCTGTATCTTCAAGAAGTAACATTTATTGAATTCATCTGTAATGATTAGATTAATACCTAAGTCTTGTTCAACGTACTAACGTACCTACATTGTTAGAGTATATGAATCTTGCAGATAAAGTAATTGTCCCGAACGGCGACTATTATCAGAGTTCTCTCCAATAAATAATGACCGCGGCGATAAGGCTTCTGGCCAATACTCGGCCACTATGTACTTGCGCATCGTACGCGAATGTGGACAAACAGTGCTGGGAATACAGGGTTAAACTCTTGGATGTACAGTGTTCTTTAAAAACGGTTAAACATGACTGTTAAGTGACTATTATAAGTGCTAAGTGGAAGGTAATTTTTGTATGCTAATTTCAACTTTCTCTCATAGTCATAAAGACCTTCTTCATTTACATCATACATAACTAAGTGTTAATATTAATTGGAGCTGAGATAACTGATGTCATCACACAACAACATTGCATCTCAATAACTGTCCTCTAATTACAATTAAATATTGAATGATGTAATATATCATAGCGGATAAAAGACACATTGAAAAGAACATGTATTCTTTCCATAAAACAAAAAAGTATCTAAAAATCGTTTCCACCTTAATAACAAACTACCATACAAGGCAAAATTGTCCTTATGACTAAGATGTTAAGGACGCTTCGATTAGCTATTACCATTGTACAATATGTTTACTACTCTATAACCGATAGTAATCAACTGTTACAGTTTAGTTACGCATGTTGTATGTTCGTAGAGGTGTAGATCAATCATAATCGGTTGATAGTAGTTACAATTGATCGTTATCGTGTCATAGGTCGGAAAACACTGCAAATGGCGACGGAGGAGGACATCGACACTCTCAAACTGTATTGGGATCACTTCTTCAAAGCGGAGACTGGTACTTATGAGGTAAGCAGAATACATAGTTAAGTAGGTATTTCCTATCCGAAAATGCAATTTGGAAAAATGTTGAATCCTGCTAACTGTTGTGGCTTACTATTTAACATACCTACATAACATCATGCCCTCCCTAACCTACGAAGGAGTTGGCAGAAGTGCGTATATCTACAATGATGCAGGTAACATCTACTTTCCGCCAGGCATGTTATGATATGAAAGAGTTTCCTAGAAGTTAAACCTATTACCGTGTTAGTACGATTTCGCCTTGATAATATGTATGTAATAGGTACCTATCTAATTGTTAAATAAGTGTTTGATACAGAAGTGTTGTAATCTGTGAACTTGCGTATTCCAGCGGTCATTGAACTTTATCGTTGAATATTATTAATTATGTTCTGTTCTCTTTTGTCGTACTGCGACCGTTTGGCTCTTAAAAAAGACTTAACGCAGATTTATTTTCAAAATCTGCAAGGATCTATCTATTTTTTATGTTATTGATTTTAGACTTATCTTCCTAAATCTAAAATAAATAAATAGCTGGATAAGATGGTTCGGATGGGTATATAATACTTATACAGACTTATCGAGGTAATGCAATAGTGACGCATTGGCTAGCCTGTTAACCAGCAGGCCACGAAATACGAAAGTGGTCGGCTACCTATTATCCAATTGAGGCGCGGTCATGCTCGACTGCGTTAAAACGCTAAACTGAAATATGTACCTCTACTGTGCTTATTGTATAACGCAACATTAACGCAACATGGGACTCATAACATAAATAGTAAAAAGTGGGTGTTATATTGTACAGTGGCATAATGTGCATCTCTGTCTACCCCTTCGGGAAAAAAGGCGTGATGTTATGTTTATGTTATGTTATATCTGCTGACCAGCACCTGTAATTTAAATTGTCTGCCAAAAAAGCCTACCTACTGATCGCAATCACAATTTCAACCAATTACTAGATTAAAGTTCCCAAGTTCGATTTGCAGTAAGTATAATATTTATCCCAGGCTAAGAACACAGAGGTGGTTCTGTTCGGTGGTCTATTCTGTGTAACACATTAGATGCCGTGTCGGACAATGATGTCAGACGCTAGCAGACGATTAGCCTTTAACAGTTTTTTGACAGTTAAAGGCTTAACAAGCTAATGTTTTGTAATCGATGTCTAATAAAATCGTTGGTTTCAGAAATCGACATGGCTGGACTTGTTTCTAGCCGAGTTTCTGATCCGGGTCAACGATGGTGCCAACCCCAAGGAGCTGATCAAGTTCTGGTGAGGATGTTATCTTACATTACCTACATACATTTAACACCTCTTTTTATTGTACTGATGGGCAAGCAAGTGCATTATGTTAAGTGGAGAAAACAGAGTTCTCCAGTTTGGATTCATTACATATTTCCTAGGTATAAGGTGTAATCTTAGCACGGATCACCTGATGGTAAGCAATCGGCGCCGCCCATGGACATCTGGAACACTAAGGCGTTACAAGTGCGTTACCGGCCTTTTGAGAATTGGGGATTTGAGGATCGTGGACGATTCGGGGATTCGGAAGACTGGGGAGGGGGGGGGGGGGGGAATTGGGCCTCCGGTAACCTCACCCACACGACGAAACATAACGCAAGCGTTGTTTCACGTCGGTTTTCTGTGAGGCCGTGGTATCACTCCGGTCGAGCCGGCCCATTCGTTTGTTAAACATTGCCTCACACTACCTAGGTACTATCATTATAAATATCGTTTGTATGTCAGTCCTGTGAGCGGGGTGGTGACGCTGGTGGGGTGCGAGCTGCTGTGTGGCATCCATCGCGTGACGTCATCCATCAACACACACTACTCCGTGCCACTGCCCATCCTCGACACATCCACGCCCGCACCCGCACTCACTGCCGATGATGTCCAGTCACATAATGAAGGAAGCAGTGATAATGCCAGTAAGTAAAAATAGGTATCATCATCATCTGAACCACAATATGCTCCATGCTGCTTTCTCTTTTATAAAACCTATTATTAATGTTTTGTTTTTATTTTGACTGTATTTTTTATTTCTATTGTAATGATCCTTGTTTTCGTGTGCCAATGGCCAAATAAATGCATTTTCTTTCTTTCTCCAAATGTCACGCGTGCACGCGTTGGATCATAAGGAACGCGGACGCTCGACGGGTTAAATCTCATTGACTAAAGTTTATGTTTTTCAAAGCAAGAGAAAACTGCGATATAAAAAATCCTTTATACATGTCCTACCATCCATGTTCTTGCAGGCACAGAACAAAAGCCGGACGAGCAGAAGGCAGGTCTGACCAGTTTGTTCACACGCACCAACACGCAGTCTTCCGAACAGATACTGAGGAAGTACCTGCTGGGGGGCGTGGCCTGGAGGTGCCTCGTGCTGCTCAAAGCATTAGGAGTTGAGGTGAGAACCATAATAATATCCTTTAATGACAAATTACCGGTCATGCGCGGCCCGGCTCGGAGCAGAACTAGGAACGGGGTGGTTTTTAGTCAGAAAAGTATTGCCATTCCCTCGCGTCTTACCCAGGAAGTACGACAGATGAGCAGGGAGTGTCGAGTCAGATTTCTAGTTTTCGAACATTTACGGTAGGTAATAACACCCCCTATTACATAAATTTTATTTTTGGTCTAATTACAATAATACATAAAGCATTTATTGCTTTGACTTTGACCATGACATAAAAATGACTGATTTAAAGTGAAGTTTGAACCACTTTTACAATACGATAATTTAATCAACCGACTGAATATTGTACCAGATGTCACTATGTGCAGTTGTTACAAGTTACTTGATAACCTTTCACAAAGCGACTGATTCTAAATATACTACAATAATTTCACAACTTCCTCTAAACTGTGATAAGATTGATCTGTTTCGCAACGAGTCTAATTCTGAACTATCATAGTGTCTAGTTATTTAGAAATAATAGTTAATGCGGTTACACTCTATTACATATTTAATGTGTATTAAATTTAAATGACATGAACCAAATACGCTTACTTTCTGGCCCTCTGCACGCACCAATGGTCGACCCAAAAAAAGTCCATAAATATTATTTAAGAACTGCTTCTTATTGGTTTCTATAAAAACAAAAACTTAGAACAGTAATAAAAAACAAATAGAACATGGTTGAATTGTAATCGGCTTAACAAAACACAAAACAGAAGAGGTCCAAACGAAACAAAGTTTTGCTTTAAATAAAATCTAAATACATTAATATGTACAACTAAGAATTTATATATAAAACCTACATACCGTTCCTATGTTAACTAAACTTAGATTACGACTCCTTGTAATCACAAATGGCTTACCACAATCGTTATCCTAGAAGTTGGGATAGGACCCGATTGCACGATAACAATACACAATGCACTGGTGTGCAGTGGCGTGCAGTAGTAAGTAGCACCACTGTTTGTGTGTGCTGTGTTATCGGCGTGAGGCGAGTCGCTACCTCGCGACTCGACGGTAACATGCGCTATCAGGACATAATATAATATGTAGGTACTAAGGATGTGTACCATCTTGATGTGAGTAGGACCCACATTTGGCTTATATTGTAGCCAAAATTGCACAAAACATGTGATAACACTTTTTACCAGATTTGTTATTAATACCTAATTAATCGAGCTGTTAGATACTAACAATTTCTAAATTGGATAGGGTACGTTACTCAACCTGGGAATATAAGCCAGGACATCTTGCTCAGTACTGAATGCACAGTATAAATAATACTGAAACATATCATAAGCATACATTATATGTATTAGGAATACGTGAAACCGTATAATATAGCCGCACTTTCTGAAAAAGCGATTAAAGTATGTATTTTACAGTTTCACATAAAGTGTAAAACACAATGCTAGATTTATAAACAGACCTAGGTATATAGTTAACCAATTGTTTAATAGTACTACATACAATCGTTACAACGCGGAACATATTACCGAGTCGCCCACAAGATGCTAAATTATCTCGTAGGTAATATTTACGAGGAAGCGCTATCCACTGGATAAAATATAATTGTAAATTATAGGTAATAAAAAATAAGATAATTTGTCAAAAATACAAAAGTTATTTGTTCCCTAGTTTTTGCTAAAAATAGGCCGGCTGAAGCTGTTACACGTGGTGTGGAGATAATATCTCTGATAATTGAGACAAACAAGCTCGTTTAGTGAGTTCTTCAATGAAATAATACATTATAAACACTGATTAGTGGCCACATGTTACACCACTGACGGACTGACAAACCGGCCTCACTTGGTAACCAGATGATAATGGGAATATTAACTTACATTACAGCAGTAATTGAAGAACTATTTTTGCGATTTTTTTTTAATGTTTAATTGTGTTTATGTAAACTTATCATTCTGTTTTTCACAAATACGGAATTGTTATTTTGTTTGTTACATAAAGATATATTGTATTTATTGTCCAAGGTCATCGTGGTATCTCTATGTTCTCTTACTCTTTTCGAATTTAAAATATCTGTAAGGAGTGATCATAAATAAAACAAATTGATATCTATTTATAGAACGTGAGGACTTGTAATTGGCTCAGTGTTACCTACGCCTATTGTTATTTTTAACCATTCTTATAAGCTGCAAGTCCTCCAGAATTATAAATAAATAAATAATTTAAATTTATTAATTAACAAGAAGTTTCAATGCACTTTTCGCAAGTAGTGTACAACATTCGACTTAACGTATGGTGGCTGGCAGATCTACCTATCCTTTTTTATCGAAGTTCTCTATTACATCTTCAACTATATTGTATTGATATAAAGTCGAAAATCCTATAAATAAATTTCACAGATTGGAGTAAATGATCAGCTGGCCACTGTACACTTGTACATTCTAACCATGTTAGTTCTAACTTTATATCAGTTCTCAATAAAGAAAATATATTGAGAGGAGTAAATTGTCGATAATAATAACCACAACGAGATATATGGTAGCAAATATTATCTCTGTAGGCAAACGATTAATTAGTAACTTAGTTATTGTCACAACTATTGACGTGTTTACGTGCACGTATTCAATTAGAGAGATAGGAGACCCCGGACCCCCTAATGTCGGCCTGTGGACTTGTTTAGACGCAATGCAAGTGTTTGTTGGTTCGCGAATACAAGTAGTAATTGGAGGTCGATGAACTATATCAGTGTTGTTGATATGGTTGCACTTACAGTCGCTACATCGGCCCTATTGTTATGTCATAATGTTGATAACTATAGTAATTTGTAATGTATGTATAGGTTGAACATGATGGTATAATGAAATTGTTACCAAACTGCATCAAGGAATCAAAGTATGTAAATTGGCAAAACGGTTTATTGTGAAACAAATAAATAAGCTCTAAAAAATGACAAGCGGTTAATATCGACAGCTTCTGAACTTTTGTTTAACACATTAAACGCCATAGGTGACCGGTGACCGACGTTCGCGGAGGATTTGCCTTCAACAGTTTTTGACAGTCAAAGCCTTAATTATAGAAAAAGCTACTTAACGGTCGCAATCGTACACCTATCAAGCACGGCCTCAACCCAGCGATATCATTGTCATTTAAATATGAACTTTAAATCGTATGTCCTATGACACAGGTATTTCATAACGTCAATATAAAGCAGGTGTAAGCGCGCTAACGGCACGCTTACAACCTTTTTAATATTGTTTGCATGCCATAAAACGTCGCGCCGGGGCCGTGCCTGTTAAAAGTGTGTGATGCCTTAAGTATGTTCTTGATTTCAAATTCTAGATAGGAAAAAGATTTAATATAATATATCTTTAACGACTAGAGTCAATATACCCTGGCTGACTGTATTCTATATTCGTTAAGCAAATCTTCCGAAGAGTAGGATATTGTTATTGATAATGACGAGTTGTTTCTGTTCACACAATATGTTTGCATGCTGCAGGGTCTGTCGTGTTGCCGCCAGCTGAGCTCGGTGCTGATCTGGTTGTTCGGTGAGCTGAGCGTCGCCTCGTCCAGCTCCAGCAGCGAGCCCGTACTGTTCCCCGCCACGCCGCGCACTCCTATACACCAGCTCTTCTCACATAAGTATGTCTTTAACCTCTTAATTTGCTTTTTACAAAATAATCGCTAGATGCACGTTGCTTTTTTAAAGCTTATATACAGGGTGTAAAGGGAACGCCTCGAAACGCTAACAAAAATAAATATTATTTTTTAATTTTAATTGTTTTTGTGTTATTGAACATCAGCATGGAGCAGTTGACAGTAACATTTAATTTCTTACTTTTATGAAAAAAAAGTCGGCGTTCCTTTTACACCTATATATGCTATATAGCAGTGGACGTCTTATGGCTGATATGATGATGATGGTATACAAGAAATAAACATTTTTTAAATGGTTTTACTGAGCTCTATTCGGCCAATCAAGCAATAACAACACAACTGTATCAACTTCAATGTCATTATGTACAAGTGCCCTCAAATTATACATTTTTCTTAGAAAGTGCAACAAAAGACGTCTTTTATAAATTATATAACTTCAACCCACATAAGACCTATAACACGATTAGATTACATGTTACGTGACAGACATGACCTGCCTACAGTACATTGTAAACAGTACTACATTGTAGCGACGTCCTTTGTTAGGCACGTAGTACTCGCCTGCTTATCTCCTAAAGCAAACAAGCGATGCGATGCGAGGGAGCCCGGCGCATACACCTTGTATGCCCTTGACACCGAGACTTAAAACTAACACTCTCCTTCAGTTTCACTCGCTTGTTGTAGTATTATTTTAGTATATAACTATATATAACCTTCGTACCGCCCAAAAAAATATTTCTCTCCTCTTAAATCTCCCCTAGACTTCCACAAACATTTCAAGACCAAAATTATCCAAATCGGTTCAGCCGTTCTCGAGTTTTAGCGGGACTAACGAAAGCAAGTACATTTTTATTTATATAGATATTTTATGACTTGATATCCTCTCGACTTATACGGTCCCACGGGCTGTCAGATGGGAAAAATTGAATTGAATTGTTCCTTCTAAAGATTGGCGGAGGAAACATCAATTCTCCGGCTTCGGTCACGAGGAATTTCGATAAAAATAGCCCTTATTAATATTCAAGTAAAGCTTATCGTTGGTGAAAGAAATTTTCAAATTGGACCAATAGTTTCGTTGCCTCTACACTACTGCAAACTATCATATCTTTTCTCGATACAATATTACTATAGATTACATTTTTTATACATAGTATAAGTAATAAGATAGACCGCATTAAGACCTTCTCGAATATATTCCAAACTTATTTTACTGCATGTTTACTTGAATGATAAAAATTTACGACTTGATACCGGCTTGTGTTCGCACACTTACATTATATATACTTATTTGTTGGTTTAAATTTTAGAGGTAATTAATTTATGATAATTGATGTAATAATATTATTCTTTATTTCTAGAATATGGTCGAAACAGAAACCGATTGGCGGCCAGACGTCCAAGATGCAGTCTGCGCCTGCGTCAGACAGAGGCTCCGTCACTGGCAGGTAAACATAATTGCTAAAAAGAATTTATGCTATCCTGTATAAGTGTAAACTATTAAAAAAAAATTAGTACTGTAACTACTAGACCAAATTATTAAAAACAAATTGTTAACAGATCACGACACTCTACACAACCCAAACTAGACTCACTCGAACGAACAAAGAAAAGACTATCGAAGCAAATGGACCAGTCGTCCGAGTCGGGGGACTCCAACGACGACCTGCAGATACTGAACCGCTCTCTAACCATCAAAGTAGTCACACCCAACGACGACTTCGAGTACTTCAACAGCACGCGCTCCTCCAACGAGTACCCCAACGACTCCTACTACGACCCGTACTACGCGCCGAGGAAACCCAAGCCCAAGGCAGAAGACTACATCAACGACAAACACAGGGCAATCATCAACTTAGAGATCACAACATTCCAATTCACTTTAATTATAACAGATCTCTTACAAGAACTATGTAAAGCAGAAAGTAGTTTGTCCGGGTCAGAAGGGTCACAGATCTCAATGCAGTGCATTAACTTCTCCTTGCGCAACCTGTGTTCGTTACAGTTTAGTTCACCGCCGCAACCACAAGATAATGCGGTAGAAGTATCCAGAATAAAGGTAGCTCTCACAGAACTACTCATGGTGTCCCTGGACCAGGTGCTCATCCACTCCGATCTCTGTGCCAAACTCATCAACAACGGTATCCTACCAATGTTGCTTCGAATACTAGAAGACGTCATCTCGAAATGTAAACAAAATAAGCTCGAATACCAGAATCATAAAGAGGATAAGACTGAATCTGACAATTTGCTCAAGTTTGTATTTGGAATCGCGTATTCAATAACTGCATTCTTCCACTGTTTACTGATGCAGTGCCGCAGTGTGGACAAACTGCGGGAGTTCACGGAGCAGTTCAAGTTGTACGGGGAGTGTCTCAAGGGAGGGCTGCTGAAGGAGTGCATCGAGCTGATGGTACGGATCCCGGCCTCGGGGGACGAGCCCGTCGTGCTCATCAAGAAGCTGGTGGAGACGGTGGGCAGGCTGGTGCTGGGCATGAAGCGCGTGCGCAGCGAGGTGGTGCACTCGGCGGCGTGCGCGCGCGCGCGCCACAAGGCGTGCCGCGCGCGCGTGGCGGCCGGCCTGCACCACCACCACGCGCTGCTGGGCGCCGCGCGCCGCGGCCTGCCGCCGCCCGCCCTCTGCTGCGTCGCCGTGCTCTACGCCACGCTCAGCGCGCTGCTGGCCAGCGACGACGTGGCCGCGCAGCCCGCGCTGCGCAACAAGATCCTCAAGGTCATGCTGCACTGCGGCGCGTGCTGCTGCTTCTCCCCCGGCCTGCTGATGGAGAGCATCGTGCGCCTCATGCTGACGCACGGCAGCGTGGCCCCGCTGTGCCTGCAGCTCCTGGAGCACACGGTGTACGGCGAGCTGGGCGCCAGCATCCTGCTGCCCAAGGTGACGGACCAGCTGCCGTGCTCCATCTGCGAGCCGTGCGACGACAGGCAGGAGGTGAGCAGGAAGCAGTGCTCGCACGGCATCAGCCCCATCGACAGGAAGAGTGTGTGGTCCTTCCTGTACCACTACAACTCGCTGCTGCAGCTCGACAACCACAACAACGTGCTGCACGCCACCGTCAGCCATCTCCTCAGGGTCACCCCCAAGTGCAGGATGGAGATGAAGTCCGAGCTGCTGTTCAGCGTCATATACCCGACGTTTATAGTGGCCAAGCACAGGTATATGATACGGATGGAAGAGTCTGCGTACTTCCTGACCGTGTCGTGCCTGAATATATTCGCCAGTTTACTGAACACTGTGTCTTTCGCGGAACAATTCATCCAAAAAGGTGGACTCAGCTATGTGCTGGAACTGGTATCGCTCTCTGAATTCTCCGACCAGTGCTGCTCTATACTGGAGATAGCGATAATCGTGGAAGTGTTCAAGCTAATGAAGGAAAACTCGGAGCTGTCGTACTTCAGGGAGATGAGCTCGCTGGCGTCGGTGCAGATGTTGTTCAAGTCGCTGACGGAGGTGACGGACAAGTGTTACAAGATATACCGGTTGAAGCTGCCGGAGGAGCAGTTCCGCGAGCTGTGTGACGTCACCAAAGAGCGGGACATGCTGGCGCTGGTGCAGCCTGCCGAGCCTCGTGCTGCCAGACACACCGCGCCGCCCGCGGCCGCGCCCGACGCCGCGGTGGAGGAGCAGGTGGAGGGCCACGTGGACACCCTGAAGCACGCGTGCACGTTCTGGAAGACGTGCGCGGCGCTGTGCGCGCACAGCCCCGCCTTCCGCGAGCACGTGCTGGGCGAGCCGGCGCTGCTGGACAGCTACGCGCTGCTGAAGCTGCTGCTGCAGGCGCTGTGCGCGCGCGCGCCGCCACCACACGACCTGCGTCTGCTCGTGCGGCTCGTCGAGGCGCTGCTCACCATGCAGCTGTCTCTCTCAGGTCAGTTACTGAATATAACTAGGTCGAGAATAAAAGAATATGAGTCTACCTTGTCAAATCTCTTCGATTAATTTTCAACTTTAATACAAAATAGTAAGATTGAAAATCGAATGTCAAATTATTCTCAGTACAATTGCTTTAATTATGATAAACTAACATGCTTAAGCTTTTACCAGTGTTATCTAATAATGTACAGTTCACAACGTACCAGACAATGATCTCGTTAATCCCTCTAATCACATAATTTTATTAGCTGCATTGTCATACAGTAATAACCCGCGGTAACTCGATATTCAGCGCTCCAGACTTGAAGCCCTATAGATTATGTTAATCTATTTTGCACCTGTTTATGACATTTACAATCAATTTTACACCATGTAATATATCGTTTTAAAGTTGACATTTGAGTGTACTGAGTTGAAGATCACATGTCGCTGGCAGACGGCTCGTTTCACAGTAGATTTGATTACAAATAGTCGTACGTCAATGCGCCGACATTGATACTCTTGCAAAGATCATACATCGTCTGGTTTATAGTCTACGTTTCGAACTTTCAAAATTATGTTTCTTTTCTCCTTATTTGTGTTAGCAATGTTGCTTTTTATCCTCCGAAAAGGTAGACAGAAATAGATCCACCCCTGGTACACGAATATTATGTAATTGATAAGCCATAGGTTGTAACCAACCACAACTTAAAACCGAGGTCGACATCCTTTCCTATCCGCAGTCAAAATTAAGACAATGCGAATAGTAATCTACACAAGACCATTATTTTGTGGTCTATTTTCTTTCTTACTACACTTTTTTCTGGGATTTTGGACGGAGCTGACGGATCACATGTGCCTTTAGCCAAACGCCGCTTTAGCGTTTGTCTACCGAGAGAGTAGAAAACTAAATATATGGGGATGACACTGACAAGTATCAAAATTTTCGTCAATTCCATATAATTCAGTTTTCTACTCTACAAATAGACAAGCGCTAAATGGCATTTGGCTACAACTGCTGGTGGTAAGCAACCGTGGTAGCTCGTAGACACCTGCAAAATTAGAGTTTTTTTGAGGGGGGAAACTCATCCAATGAATTTTCCCGCATTGGGTTAGGCGAGAGGGAGTGTCAGACTCTTACTTACTGAAAACCACCCCGTTCTTACTCCTGCTCTTTGAGTCGGAGCCCCGGCAACCCGTTAGGCCTTCCACGGCAACAATAGGAGTTACAGATGCGTTGCCGACCTTTTTAGGGTTAGGGATTTCAGGGATGGGGGTGGGAGATGGGCCTCTGGATTGAATATTAAATTCTGTTAATGGTAGTGTATGTTTGGATAACAGATGTGACCTCAGGTCGGTCGAAAGAAGTGAGCTGCGCGCTAGTCCGCGGCGCGCTGGCGGCGGGCGGCGCGGGCGAGGGCGCGCTGGAGGGCGGCGGCGGGCTGCGCGCGCTCTGCGAGGCGCTCATACGGGTCGCCGCCGCGCGCACGCAGCGCACGCATGCCATGCCGCGCCCGCACCATGCCAAGGTACTGTATTGTATTGTACTGTGCGAGGCGCTCATACGGGTCGCCGCCGCGCGCACGCAGCGCACGCATGCCATGCCGCGCCCGCACCATGCCAAGGTACTGTATAACTGCTGTACATGTAACAAATACTTTACAACATTTCGGCTCGGTTTCCTTCGGACTCCATCATCAAATTGGCGAAGTAGTCGTAGAACACACGTAGAAAAAAACCAATCATCCGAACATTTTTCGAAGTCAGTAGCAATATCGTCATTGCCACCGCCAGACCGGGGTAAGACCCTCTTACTGAATAAACGACCTTTACCATTACGGAGATAGACGGTAGATACATTAAGAGCCTCCCTCGAGTGGCTGTCTTCGTAAGGGAAGCCTTTTACCAGACGGCCAATCCGTCTTGCAAATAGTTGTATACAAGTGACATGAACTTATTACTCTTTGTACTTCTGTCTTATTTTTTTTCTGCCTTCCAGAGCTTGTTTATTTTATTAGAAGCGATTTCATTCGCATTTATATTAATGAGAGTGAAATTGCTATTCCACTGTGAAATGGTGTCGCGGAGAACCTAACGGGTAACTGGAGCTCCGGCTCGACGTGCAGGAGAAGGAACGGGGTGGTTTTTAGTCAGTAAGAGTCTGATACTCCCTTCCGCCTCACCCAGGCGGGAGCAGTCATTCGATGATTTTCCCCCCTTAAAAAAAAAAAACTGTGAAATGGTAATAAAGTTTCAAATCATTCGCAACTATTATAAAAATAGAAGTATTGATTATGACGTATAAGAACGCAAGGAAGTCGTAAAATGACAATACCACTTATGAATTTAAAGTTAAGTACTTAATAAATACTTAATGCATAGACACAATGAAGTATGCAATTATGCATACCGCTAATATTGAATGATTCTATCTGAATATTTCTTATGTTAATTGCCCTAATTGATGCCATACTAATGCTACACATTATCTGAAATAAGTTCCACACATGCCTTTTTATTATTATTGTAGTGATATTCATATTTGCATATATTTAATGCATAATTCATGTGCCAAAATGGTATTAAAATGCATAAATACTAAAAGGTATTCGACGTAGCCTGATTTTATGAGCATTTTGACACTTAATGCTATTTTTTTAAATAAATCTATTCTATTAACTTTTATAAAAACTCGATCTTCCGGAATTAATTACAAATTGCAAGAATTTCCTAAAAAATACACAATTGACTTCAAACTACGTCACAAGCACAAATTTTCATGTATTTTTAAATTAATGTATCCAAGCTCTATCTTCTTATAATCGAATCAAACTGTTTCTAAATATCGCTCGCGGTTTTACCCCCTCTGCTCGGCTCCTATTGATCGTAGCGTGATATTTTAGCCTATAACCTTTCTTAATAAATGCACTATCCGTCACACAAAGAATTGTTCAAATCGGATCAGTAGTTCAGGAGATGAGCGCGTTCAGGAGATGAGCGCGTTCAAACAAACAAACACTTCAGCTTTTCGACGAACAGTATACTAAAAAGACCTCAACATTAATAGAATTTTGTTATTTTGCTTGTAATAAACTCCATCGACATTCACCTTTACTGTGTAAGCCGGACTAACGGAACGGGAGGTTTCGTTAACCTTGACCCACAAATATGTTGTAACCTAAGATTAGAGGCTCAATCCGGCCCTGTTTTGTTTCTCTAACTTTATTATGAAGGCAATATTAGTTTAGCTATGTTTTTTGTATTATCAATTAGTCATTTGTGATAATCAGAAGTCATTATGGCGTATATGGACTAATAGCTTAATATTTATCTTGGAAAATTGTTGGTTATGCCTAAATTGCTACACCAATCCTTATAAATTCTCGTTCATAAGTACTACCTATTACATTTGAAGTAGAGAAAATTGGTCTCTATTAAATTACAATCATGAGCAAAAACAAGTTCATTGATGCATAAAATTGATACAAATACTTGATTTTAATATATTAATTATTATGCTAAATACTTCGTTCTTTCCAAAGTGAGATTTCTTTGTATATTGTGTATCAAAAATATGGATAAGATGCTAATATAATAGTTAGTAGGTGTGTTACTAGTTTCCTAATGTTACCTCACCGGACCGGTTCTTGCGCTCGCTCAATCACAATTGTCGTCAATTAAAATCGTCTTCAACACGGAGTTCCTTCAAAATCTAAATCTATATTTATTTATATCAATTCTATTTCTTCTTTGGAATTTACTTCGTTAAATATTTATGAGATTGAGACTCCATTGTAAAATGTATTATTTTTACTTTAGTAACTTGTTTACACATTTTCCTTAAAACAAATTCAGAACCTATACTATTTATGTTTTTTTTTAATTTTTTACTGCCATCTTTTTGCCCTGTGGAATTTGAAATCTATCCTGTAAAAATATCGGATAAGAAACTTAATATTTCATCTTTGTAATCTTAGCATACCTTGTGGGTTTACGCACGAGGTATGCTGCTCAAATAGTTTCAGATCTTGTAAGAAAATCGGTATAAAAGTCTTTTGTGTTATTCTCTGATAGGTAAAGTCATAAAGTCTTTAATAGTAAAAGATTTAAAAATCAACGGAATCGACCCAAAGGTTTAGGAGCCATATGAAAAAAGAGAACCTATTTTCCGACCTCAATATTAGTAATTTTCAGATATAGAAACTAATAATAAGTAGATTCAAATGGCCACCATATTTCCAAAATATTGTACATGATCACATACACATCTTGACATTAAAATATCAAAACTCGGAATAGTTAGACGAGAGTAGAGCAGTCACGGACGCGCGAGGATCACTCATCTACCGACGCGACACTGTTGCACTCGTGTGCATACGTTACAACACAACTAGTGCAATGCTAACATTTGTAGGTACTTCGTGAAGGCAGTGTTTGTTTGTGATTACTGTTGTATATTATACAAGGGGGATATGGAGCTGTCTGCAACCAGGGACACTCTGTCATCAGGTACACCATCTATTCCTTGAAGATTTATGGCATATAGCAGTTATTTTAATTGTATTTTCGCTATATTCTTCTTTGGGCTCTTCTAATTTTTGCAGCATAATTTTAAACAATTTTTATCTTTTTGGTCATACCAATATGTAGGTACTTATATTATCATGAAAACCGCTATAAAACTAATTTGTAAGATGTTTATACTATACTTACTAGTTTAACTTGGACCTTAAAACTAAATTGAATTATTATATTTAATCCCCTGCACCTTTGAGTGCATCAGATGATGCTCTACTACGACGTAGTACCGGTATACCGCTGGCCCGGATCACGTGTAACCACTCAAGTGTAACTATCACGACGGCATAAGGTTCAAGTTTGATGTAACTGGGTGAAAAGTATCAAGTTACCTGCGGTTTCCATACACCTCAACTATGTGACACTAGAGAATTGTGACGCTGTTTGTGTTTCCTTACTTATTGTGTTATTGAAGTATTGTACACTTAAAAGTCAAAGTCAAAATCGTTTATTTTAATTAGACCAAGAAGGCACTTTTGAACGTCAACAAAAAAATAATTGTCGGCGTGCAAAAGTGCAGTTGTTAATTATGTTGTTTAAATATTTCTTGAAGGTAAAGTTCGATGATTCTGTTCATGTTTATGTTTGTATTTTGCATGTGAGGTTCACACGAAGTAGTTGTCAATCAGGCTTTACTATTGCATCTTTTTCTTTTTAAGATTTTAATTGTGCACCTGTCTTAATAAAAATAACAAAATAAAATGTAGTGTAGTAATATCTTCTTCAGATAAAACACGAACAAAACGAACATATCGAGCTGGTGCGCTGAGTGGCACCAACGTAACTTTTTCTATTAACATTTATAAACCAGTTGATATGAACTTTGGTGAAAGTTTCCGAAACTACATATTATATTGTCTCACTCTATAACGATTTCATAACTTTTGCCTTTTAGTTTTTAAAGCAAAGCCTTTTTGTTTAAAAAATAATCGGTTTATTTATGTTGTGTGTTCAAATAATACTTCCCATAATCTAAAACTCTAGAAATGCTAAACCGATTTAGTTAATTTTGGCCGTGAAATATTTGTGTAAGTCCAGGAAAGGTTTAAAAGGATAACAATATAAAAATTACGTAAAAATCATCAATACATATGAAATGTACAATATAAATATAGTACACACAAAGAACCTATAAGCATGCAGCCTTGAATTAAAATGACGAACATACGCAGTAGACTAATATTATCCTTTATCTATGTCAGAAATCAGAATCTAGACACATTACTATAAAATATCATGTATAAAATAAAAAGCATATATATGCAGCATATTTATTTAATCGTAATATGAGTAGCAAACTATAAGATTAGATATAAAATTAAATACAAAATCTGCATGTAATGTGACACTATCATTCAATCAATCTTAAATAAATATTTTATGAGTTGCGTAAAATGTAAAGGAGCATATGACTTGGAGTGTGTTAATATAACAAAATTATCCTGGGAAAAATTCACCACCAAGTTTAAACAATCTTGGCTCTGCCCTAACTGCGTGTGTTCTCAGCCGAAGATAGATAACACTAGAACTCCTGCCCGGAACCCTACTTTGAATATTGACGAGTCTTCCTGTGAAAATGTAAATATGACGAGAGGAACGCGGGGGTCAGCTGTGCTGGATTCTGAGACGTCTGTTGTTGAGTTGTTTAACGAAATTAGGGAACTGAGACAAGAGATAAGGGATTTGAAGCAAAACTGTAGTGATATATGTTTGCTGAAGCAAGTTGTGCAGGACATTAAAGCTGAGCTTGCTAACCTCTCTCCGAACTTTTCACAACAATTGGCTAAGTTCAATAGCATCCTTGAAGCCAAGGACCAGGAAATAAAAAGTCTGAAGCTAACAATATCTCAATTCCAAACAACCCTCAGCGACTTGGGACAATCCTCGTTGAAAAATGAAATTGAAGTATGTGGTGTTCCCGAGCAAAATGCTGAAAACCTGACACACATCC